GGACGGAGGTGAAAGCTCCTGTCTTAGTCCATGCCAAAGCTGAAATGTAGCTGAGATGCCCCCAATCAGTGCTTGCATTGACGGGGTCGTTGTGGAGGTTGAAAGATTTGGCGAAAGTCCCCGCCAGCTTCGGTGGGCGGCCGGGTTCCAGGGCTCCCGGTTCCGGGTTCCCCGATTACCCTTTGCTGGTTCCGGTCCGATTTCGGGGGGCGGCGGGGTTCCTGGGTTGCTGGGTTTCCTGTCGATCTCCTTATCAATATCTTTTTATCGATCCCACGGTCGACTCCGCTATCGATGCCATGATTCATGATTTATTTCATTATCCAATTCATCGAGTCGATCTCTCTATCGATCTCATTATCATTCTTATTGTCGATTTCACTATCGATATCACTATGGACCTCACCCAACTGACCTCAGTTATCGGTATCATCATTGATCTCATTATCGACATCGCTATCGATCGCACTATCGATCTCCCTGTCGATCGTGCGATCGATAGGGAGTGCGGTCGATCGACGGCGCGAATATCCAGATGCCTTGCGGCAAATGCCACCGCTGCGCCAGCAGAGTCATCTGGGTGCTGGCTGGTCGAATGGTGATGACGATGACACCGAAGACCCAATGCCGACGATGATGATGATCAGGATGATGAGAATGAGCATGTCGACGATGAGATTGTGGCTGATGATGCTTATGATCATGCTGATGTCGATGAACGGTGATGCTGATGACAATGATCATTTGCAAGTGGAGGCATAAGAAAGACGCCGTCACATCCGGCACCTCTCGACCTCACTTCTGGGAGCTCATTCAGGCCGTCCCGGGTTTGTCCTGGGCTCCCGTGGAACAGTCTTGAGACTCAAGTGGGCCGTCTTGGGGCCCTCTTCGCCGTCTGCTCGGTCTCTTCGGGCAGTCGCGGGGCCGTACTGAAGCCGTATTGGGCCGTCGACGGGCCCTCTGAGGTCGTCTATCTTGGAGGCCTCTTGGGCAGTTTCGAACCGACGGATATCCGAAAAGGCGAGACTGCCACATCCCTTCTGAAACTTACAAGGAATCAGCATTTAGGGCGTCTCTTCGGGCCCTACGGCGAACCTGCGGGCAGCCATGGTGCCTGCCAAATTTTCAAGCCATCCACTGTTTAGGGTTTTCCTCAGGTGTAATTGTCTAGCAATAACACCCTGGCGCAAGGACGCCCCTGCGAGGCCAGGCCCGCTGTAGGCGTTGTTGCTATCGTCGGGTGGATCCCTCCGCACGCTAGCTGTACTTCCTCCTCCCGCTTTCTTCTTCCGCGGACGGCCTGCATGCACCGCATCGCCCTGGCGTCTCCCGAGGCGTCGTCGATCCTCGACCCAGGACTGGTACGGTGCATGGTGTTGCGGCCCTCGGAGCCGAAACACTATGCACCGTACCGCGTTGGAGCGTGGCCTGAAGGGAGTCCAGACATGGCACGGTGCGTGTGCGCCGTTCTCGTGCTCCTGTCGTTCCCCACAGCGCATGCTCTGTGGGCCGCGGCCTGGCCAGCTCGAGACGGCTGCCTCCGCGATCTTTGGGCAGGACAGCGCGACCGTGGTCGTGAGAGGCACTGCGCGGAGGTGGGCCTCGGCTCTGCCGCTGCGGGGCCGGCCCACGTCCGAGCTGGCGCTGCGGTGCGCGCCGTGTGCTCCCCCGTCCTCTGCCCACGTCATCCTGTGCTCTGTCGCACATGTACAAGATCCTCGCGGTCTGAGCGAGCTTCGCCGCCCGCGGCTTCCTCCTCCCCCCCCGCGCCATCCCGCGCGCTTGCCGAGAAGCTCGCGCGCGCTGCTGCTGCGCTCCCTGGGCAGGACGGCACGAGCGTGATTGTGAGCAGCTGCGTGGAGGATGGTCCAGATCAGCAGTGGATCGTCCCAGGAGCCTGCCAGCTCCTGCTGCTTCTCCAGCTTCTGCATCTCGAGTGCATTCGAAAGGCTCTGCTGTCGCTGCTGCCGCCGCCGCTGCTGCCGCTGTCGCCGCCGCTGCTGCCGCTGTCGCCGCCGCTGCTGCCGCCGCCGCTGCTGCCGCCGCCGCTGTTGGTCGTTAGCCTCCTCATTCTCTTTCTCCTTACCCTTGCTCACTCGCCTATTCGTGACCGAATTGAGGTCTTGGCGGCTGGCTGTGTCTCCTCTTCTTGCTCCTCTTATTTCTCTCGGGAGCTCCGAAAGACACGCTGTGAACCAAAAATTAGTGACATTGTCTTGAGAGACGTTGGATCATCTCACGGTCCAATGCTGAGGCGTCGCAGCCCCGAGTTGTCCAGGACGAAGAATTATGAGGACAACAGAGAGAATCATTACAATCGTCGGCATACGGGAGAGACGCCCCGCGATCTCACGACCTCGTTCCACGGCTTCGCGGCGCCGCCAGATCTCCGTCTGGGAGGGCCGTTCGACGATCCTGGGGCACTCCTTCCCGAGTGCCGCTGCACTGTCTCGTTGATCCCAGGGCCCCTGTGCGGGATGTCGCGGCGCTGCCTAGTGGATTCTAAGATCAAGTTGGGCGTGTCCCTCTACAGGAGGAGTATCCCAAAATAGTCAACAAAATGGTCTGGGAACGATTTTTGTTTTGACTCTCTTTGACTCTTGTGAAGTCTGGTTTGAATCTTCTTCACTCTTCGTCCAAAGTCTGCCTGCAGGAGGACAGGCCCGACCCAACTCCAGAGGGCCGCGGCGCGACGCGCGGCCAGGAACTGGCACGGGACAGATCAAGTGGGCAACGAACCCGGACATGTGCTTGGACGCCCAGGCGCTGGAGGAGGGCTCCGCCGAAGCTCCCGGCCCGGCCCTCGGACCCTCGCCAACCTCTCCCCTTCCTCCATCCACCTCCAACTCCTCCTCCTCGTCCTCGTCCTCCTCCTCCTCCTCCTCCTCCTCCTCCTCCTCCTTTCCTTCTCCTCCTCCTCCTCCTCCTCCTCCTCCTCCTCCTCCTCCTCGTCCTCGTCTTCGTCCTCGTCCTCCTCCTTTCCTCCTCCTCCTCCTCCCCCTCCTCTCCTCTCCTCGTCCTCGTCCTCCTCCTCCTCCTCCTCCTCGTCCTCCTCCTCGTCCTCGTCCTCGTCCTCGTCGTCGTCCCCCTCCTCCTCCTCCTCCTCCTCCTCCTCCTCCTCCTCCTCCTCCTCCTCCTCCTCCTCCTCCTCCTCCTCCTCCTCCTCCCTCGGCTCAGGCTGGCGAGGGCCGGCGTTCCCCGCCCGCGCGCCGCCCATCGCACGCGAGGGTGGTGGTGCGGCAGGCACACGACTGCGCCGCCAGTGGAAAGCAGAGACTGGGACTGGGAGGCGCGGGGCGGGGGCCAACGAAGTCTGGAGGGCCTCTCACGCACCCCATCCATCCCCAACTCCCAGGGTTGCTGCGCCCCAGCGGCCACGACTTGGGGTGCGAGCCAGCCACGCTCCCAAGGATTCCCCTTCTCGTCCTTCGGTTGCCTCTGGGATGTTTGGGCCCACTCTTCGCGCGGGCAAGTCGAAAGAAGCGGTGGCATAGTGGCACACAGGCATTGCCCGCGTCGCGGCATAGTGCCTGACAAAGTTGCGCCTTGTATAGTGTTGAGCAATCTGCGGCTTGGATTCGAGAGTACTCGTTTATGCCGGTCGCCCTTGTAATTTGAGGTGTCTTCATCGTGGTATTTCTGTATTTGCTGTTCGCAGTCGCTCATGGTGTTCTTGTGCTGGCTCCACGCATTGTCTTATGGTACTGGGACGTATCCGGATAGGCTCTCCCAGCATCGAACGTTTCGGAGCCTGGGCAGAAGTCATCAATGCTATGATACTGCGTTCTACTTTCAGCATGCGGGAAGGCTGTTCTCCAGCATATGTTGCTCTTGCCAGTCGGCAGGCAGGCAGCAGTGCATGGCCCGCCGAGCGCCCTCTGCATTTCAAGATTTGCATCAGGGTTGGGTCCAGACTGCAAGCGCCGCTGTCGGTGGCTGGAGGCGAATTGGCACCACCGGAGCTGCGTCCTATTCCTCCTCCCTCTCCTCCTCCTCCTCCTCCTCCTCCTCCTCCTCCATTCCTTTTCCTCCTCCTCCTCCTCCTCCTCCTCCTCCTCCTCCATTCCGTTTCCTTATACATAACTTCTCCCTGTCGCACCCGAGGCCAGTTTTTAGGGCGGGCAGGGCGTTTCGCCTGAGACTTCCTCACCATATATGATTCTGAAGCTTAAAGTGGCAACGGTTTCACAGATGGAGGGCGGGTGGTTTTCAAAATGTGGCTCTCGCCCTAGCGCCGCGCACATTTGATTAACAAGTTTTAAGAGTTTCACGGATTGAGGGCCAGTAATTTTCAAAATGTGGTTCTCGCTTCAGCGCCGCGCACATTCGTTTTGAACCTTTACAAGAGGTTCACGGATTGAGGGCGTGTCGTTTTCAAAATGTGGCTCTCGCTTTAGCGCCTCACGGTTGGAGGGCGAGTCGTGTTCAACATGAGGTTCTCGCCTTAACGCCGCGCACATTTTTTTAAACGTTGCAAGAGATTCACGGACTGAGGGCGGGTCGTTTCAAAATGTGGCTCTCGCTTCAGCGCCGCGCACAGTCGTCTGTACAATCTGCAAGAGTTTCACGGATTGAGGGCGGTTCCTTTTCAACATGTGGTTCTCGCGTTAGCGCCGCGCACATTCCGTCATAACAGTTGGAAGAGTTTCACGAATTTCCATGATCAACGTACCAGACTCGGTGTTTTGGAAGGATCCAGGATCATGCGGGTGCAACAGTTATGTTGGTTCGCGGTGTTGATGTCCCAAGAATTGCGTTCTGGCGCGGATCGGCAAGACGCAGCAGTCAGGTTTCTCCGTGGCGTTGGAATCCCAAGAACAAAGTTCTGGCATGCTTCAGGGTCTTCAAACGGTTGCTTTCCAACGGGGCAGTTCCCTCAGTGAAAACGAACCGTTGTATGGGGCCTATGAAGAGAGGGAGCTTGGAGGGAGGGTTACTTCCAACATCGTTGATGACTCTTGGGTTTGCGCTGGTCCTCCTCCTCCTCGTCCGCCTTCTTCTCCTCCCCCATATGACGCTCCAACCTCCTCCCCCTCCTCCTCGTCTCCATCGCCGCCCTCCCGGCCCGAACGGGCTTCGTGCCTCCGTGTGCCCGCCTCGGTGTCGGCCGCCAGCGCCCCGCGCCCGCACCCGCGCCCTCCACATCCGGAAGCAGGCCAGCGCCCTTGGACGATCCTGCGGGGAACAATCGATGCCACACACACATTGATCATTTCTAATTATTCGAGAGTTCTTTGATTCTTTGGGGGGCCAAGATCCTTTCGTTTCTAAGTGTTCTATCCTGGGCCTCTTCCTGGCCACTAGAGGGCCAGGAACACTTAGAAGCGAGCACGATTAGAAATGAGCACGATTAGAAATGAACGACGTGTACACACCAACCACTCGGAGGTCCTCGCAGACTTCTTGGATCGGCCCTCGACCCCCCTCCCCGGCGCGCTGAGCGCGCCAGGGGGCTCCAGCGCCGATCCAAGAGATCCTCGCGGACCTCCGAGCGTTGATGTTGGTATCGTCGCTTGTTTCCCTAATCCTGGTACTGCGGCTCCCCGCGTGACTTTGCCCGAGGCTTCGGGAGCGTGGTTCGAATCTGAACGTCGAATGCCTTGAGATGTGTTCCACGGCTCGTCCTGAGACTACCTGAGGGGACTCTTGGGCCGTCTCAGAGGTGGCTCGGGGTCGGCCCAAGATGCCACAATTATAGCATGACCTTGGGATGTGGTATAGGCAGCAGCCGAGGCCTCATCATCTGGACGTGCCACGGCGAGGACGACCCCCTGTCCGACAACCAGCAGTGGCACATCGCGAAGGCGAGCGCCGTGGCGCAGGCCGGGTGAGGCACGGCCCCTGCCCCTTCGCCCTCCCGCCTTCGGTTTCCCCCTTGCGCCTCTTCCCTCCCCTCCGAACCTGCCCCCCTCACTCGCACCCTTCCTTCCCTCCCTCCTCCTCCCCAGCCCTGCCTGCTGCTGCTGCTGCTGCCGCTCCTCCTCCTCCTCCTCCTCCTCCTCCTCCTCCTCCTCCTCCGCCCCCTCCTCCTCCTCCTCCTCCTCCTCCTCCTCCTCCTCCTCCTCCTCCTCCTCCTCCTCCTCCTAGTCCTCCTCTTACGCCAGCGGCTCCGTTGCCATTTTGGCTCAAGTGGGTGTGGTGGGTACTGGGGGGTACTTACTTTTTCATCTCTTTGAGTGGGCAGCTCTCTTCAGAGGGCAATTCGGGTGCGAGCCCGAGCGGACACAACTTCTTTTTTTCTCATTCCAGTCCAGCTCCCGCCATGGCCGAGGAGATCGTGAGGCAGGTCCAGGCTGCCCTGGAGGTCTCCATGAAGGCGCAGATAGACTCACTGGGCACCACGCTCACGCAGACCTTTGCCACGCAATTCGCGTCACTGTCCCAGGGGCTGGAGCAGAAGATCGCCGAGCAGAACGCGGGCATGACTGCCCAAACGCACCACATTGTCCAGATGCGTGAAACGCTGCAGAAGCATAGTGCCGCCATCGCTCGTCTTCAGCAAGATGTATCGACCTCAGGAGCCAGCTCCGCAGGTGGATCAGCAGATGGTAGTACGTGGGCCAGTCGGTTGACAGAACCTGCAGCCAAGATCCAGCGTATTTCAACGTCAGAGAATGCAGCACCAAACTGGCACAATTCGCGATCATATCAGCATGACAAGTGTCGACGCTGGATCGGCACTTTCCCTCGTGCAGTTTTGGCAAGCATGAGGCAAGCACATTTTGCATCTTGGAAGGGCAGCATCATGACGCCCGTTATGCTGAACAATGTCACGCCGCAGCACCATCGCATCAGCCAGAGCTACTCGCTCACCTTCTCCAGCGAAGCCATGGCGAAGGAGTTCACGGAGGTCTTCAACAACTCGGAGAACCAGTGGATGGATCCACGTGGCGGATCGATGCACTTCATGAAGGCCAGGTCCGACCTGCCGAAGGACGTCAGGACCACCCAGAGGGCGCTCAGCAAGGTCTGGGACCCCATCATCGAGCTCTTCGGAGCGAGCCCGCGGTACACTGCAGGTTCGAAGCCTATCATCAACGGTTACAAGGGTACTATTCATTGGTCTGATGGGAATGATGTTTGGCTGCTGGTCAGCTGCTCGGATGTCAACCATGCGTCGTTCACGTTCGACCTCGATCAGGACACGGTCGCCTTCTTCTCCCTGGACACAGACAAGCTGAACAAACTCATGGAGGACGTCAACAACAAAGCCGCCTACATCTAGGAGGAGCTGCTGGCACACTCGTCGGACGTCGATGACAATGATGGCCATTCTCTTTGGGAGCATGAAGGCACTACCTGCGTAGTCGGGGACTCATGCGCAACTCTTTCGGCCAGCACTTGTCCCTCGGCTTCTCCATCGACGCACAGTTCCAGCTCAACTCGGGGTACAGTAGATAGCACTGATTCGAGTGGACCAGAAGCGTCCACAAGGCCTTCCTTGCTCGCGCAGCCGCTTCGTTTGTGCACCTGGAATGCCCAGACCCTCTTCCACTCCATCTCTGCCTCTCATAAGCACGGTGCGTCTAAATTTAAAGCTCTGGCCAGCATTGCACGGAAGATGGATGTAATTGTTGTGCAGGAGACCCATGGTCAGGAAGGGGACTTTGAGACTCTGACCCGCGACTTTCCGAGATTCCGAGCCTTCGGGTCCTTCATCCAGGAGGCCCATGCTGGAGGTATTGTGCTGCTGGTCAGGGAAGAGCTCGCCGAGCAGTTCACGACGATTGATTCGCACGCGCTTGTGGCAGGTCGTATTCTCACGCTTACTCTCCAGGGCCCTAAAGGTGCATTGCACGTTGCGAGTGCCCATCTGGATCCTGAGTGGTCTGAACGAGCTACACCAGCTACACGCGGTATTCTCCATTCTCTTTCTCGTTCCTTGCTCCCGCAGTTCCAGGCTATGAGTATTGTGCTAGGGGACTTTAATTTCCATGAACATGGAGAGTGCAGGCGCTATCTTGAACCACCAGTACCTAAGACATCGCCATCACGTTTAGCAACAGTATTTGGTTATCTCTTTCATCATTACTCCGAAGTCGAACAGCCTGCATATACCCACCGTGCTATCATACGCAATAAGCTGACATACGCTCGTCTCGATCGCATCTACTGCAATATTGACACTGTCACATTACTAGACTGTCGTCCTAACGCAGGAGTCCTTTGGGAGGTTACCGACAGGGCCAAGCCTCCTGACCACGTTCCAGTTTTTCTTTGCCTGCATGCTCAGCGGCCTGCAGTGACAGGCCAAGGTTCTATTCCCCCGTGGGTGGCCAGACATCCGCAGTTCGGTGAGTTTGTCGAGGATCTTCTCGCTACCGCTGGATTTTCGCCGCAGCCGCCGACAGCAATGCAGGAAATTAAAGAGATATTTCACATTGCTGCTGGCCACGCTCGGAGGTACGTCGAGATCTCGGGAGCACGCGCGCGGCCGGAGAAGGCAGCCTGCTGTCTCAAGCTTGTCCGTGCTGCACGCTCAGGCAGCTTCTATCGTGCTCGGCGTGCTTGCCTGGGCTACAGGCAGCTCTTCGCTTTTTTAACCCCGAGGCGATGACCTGGCTCGATCAAGGGCGATTCCATGAGCATCTCAGTGCCATGATGCGTGAGATGTACCAAGAGGAGGAGAGGGAAGTTTGTGAACATAGTGAGCTAGGTTCTGAAGCTGCTGAGCAAGCCATTCGTCGAGTCAGGCGTCTCTCTGCTGCGCGGGCTGCACGGCGGCCTCGCGTTAAGCTTGTGGGTGTCCGAGGGCCACAGGGAGAGGTTCATACAGACCCTGAAGAGGCTGATAGGCTTCTTGCCGACTACTGGGGCCAAGTTTTTGACAACGATGATGAAGGTTGTCTTGGGTCTGAGCATGTTCTCTTTCAGTTCATCCAGGAGGTTGATGGTACGGGGCCCCATTATGTCACCAGTAGCCACCAGAGGTTCGACTGGGTCCTGACCGAGGATCACTTTAACGGTTTGATCGATGCCAAGCGTGACGCGGCCACGGGTCCAGATGGAGTTCCCTATTCCGCCTGGCAGAAGACAGGAGAAAAGACGCGTGCTGCACTATATGCCTTGTGCTGCCACACCCTTTCTGGGGGCAGAGTCGCCCCCTGCTTTAACCACTGCAGAGCTGTATTTTGCCTAAAGGTGATGTGGTTCAGGGAGGGGAGGAGGCTCGTGAGCCACGTGTCGTTCGACCGCTCTCTCTGTCGAATACTGATAACAAGCTCCTCAGCTCCGCCATCGCATCGGCATTAAGTCATGTCGCTGCCGAAAATTGCCACATCGTCCAGCGTGGGTTCGTCAAGGGGAGGATGATGAATGACAATATCATCAATATGGATGGCCTGCTCACACTGTGGGGCACCGTCTATAAGCACGCGGAGAGCGGCTTCACGCTCTTCGATTTTAAGAACGCCTTCCCCAGTGTTTTTGCAGCTGGATCAAGTGCGCATTGATGCGCATGAAGTTGCCGCCCTTTCTCATCAATGCGATTGAGGGGCTATATGATGATATATGGACTTCCATAGTCTGGGGAGGAGGGGAGCATGGATTATATTCATTTCGTGGGATGGGGCAGGGGTGTCCGCTCAGTGGTGTGCTCTTCGCGCGAGTGCTGGATCCTGTGCCCCGCTCCGTCTTGCAGCTGCAGAATCGTCTCGTGTTTCAGATCGGCGCTTTCGCCGACGACATATACCTAGTCGCTCGCAACCGCTGCAAGACCTTACCGCAGGTGTTGATAAGGCTCGTGCTGTCAGGTAAGGTAACAGGGCTCACGCTTGACTATAAGAAATGTGTCATTGTGGTTTTGAACATGGAGGAGAAAAAAGGATGTCCTGGAGGCTTTTCGTGGTCGGGGACTTGATGTTTCTCATTATCAGATTCGGAGGTCTGGCAAACTCCTGGGAGTCCTGGTCGGTGAGCAAGGTTTCCTTGATGCGTGGCAGCCAGTCGGTGTGAAAATTAGGGGCCGAACAGAGGACGTGCGGAGCCTGGGGCTGAGTTTCGTCCAGTCCGTGCAGGCTTTCAACACGTACGTCGTCCCTGTCACGTCGCACGTAGGTCAGTTCTACCTGCCTTCCAAATAACTCGTTCGCGCGGGGCGAGAGGCGCATCAAAAGCTACCTCGTGCGCCACTGCATGCTTTTCCTCCAAAGGCCATGTTCCATCTCAAAGAATTGGGTCTTCCTGTGCAGTGCCGCTCTGTGGAAACCCTCTGTCGCGCGTCTATGCTGCGCTGTGCCATCCGCCCGGAAGAGTTCCATGCTATGCGTTCTATGTATTATGCTGCCCAGGAAGACGACAACAGGACGCTAACGTTTAAGTGGAACCCGCTCTTTCTGAGTTCTATATTCTGGAACGTGCTTATCGTGTATAGCCAGTACATCAGGATCCCAGTTGCCCCGATCCACGTGCCCCCGAAAACGCTGCAGAGTCTGACCACGAAGTTTATCGTTCGACATCAGCCCCATCACTTCATCAATCATATTGTCCTTGCTCGTCTTCGCTATTGGCTTCCTCATGCTACACCTCATGATGCTCAACTGACTGTTCTGAGGCTTACTGTTCCATCTAGGAGGCTGCCCAGTTTTATTGTTACACCCCTTCTAAAAACCGTGTTCAATGCTTGGCCAATTACAAAGCGTTTCAGACAGGCCGCTGGGCCTTGCGTTTTCGGGTGCTGCAATTTAGGAGCCGACAATATCTCTCAGTATGTCACCTGTCCAGTTGTGATCCCCCTCATGAGGGAGCTCCTCCCATCGCTCCCTCCTGAGTGGGGAATATGTTGCGCCATTTAACTTTCTTCCTCATCTCTGGCCATCTTTTGAGCACGCCCCTAGAGCGAGTGAGTTCGTGCATGCCAGTGCTGTCGCCATTGATATCTTATTTTCCGCTTTCAACCAATGCC